GAGTGCCTCTGAAATGGGCCTGACGAGTGCTTGTGAGATGGATTCGACGAGTGCTTCTGAGATGAGTCGACAGGGTGCTTCCGAGATGGGCCCGACAGTGTAACTGTTTTGTGCCAGTGCCCCGGGCTTCTCGATAGGCTGGTAATACAATACTTCCGTCCATGAGTGCTTCATAGAATGTGTGACTGCCGCGTTACAGGTCCATAAACGAGTTCGACGAGTCGGAAGACAAGGAGAAGAACTACAAGAACTGCTCACAGACGCAGCGGTCGTCCAAGTGGACGAGCAGCAGCTGCTCCTCCAAGGAGAAAAAGTCGCGGGCGAAGGAGGCGCCGGTGGCGGCCGTCACCTCGGGGCCTCCGCCCAAGGACGAGAACGTCACAAAGTGAGTCGCTAGCGCCCTCGGCGCCGTCGCCGTCCCCGCCGCTACTTTAAATACTAATGCGTCGTTGGTTATGCTCGGATGTTGTCACTGCTTTATCGCAACATTTCCAGAAATCTGTGTGAACTACGCATGCAAGGCGAGATGGATTATATCGTACAGCTGCAGTGGGAACTCGCAGACATTCAGTGGGGATGTCGCCGTCACCATAACGACTCAAGCCGTACACTCTATTTCGCTTCCTACAATCCGCGTCGCTGCTAGCCGGGCCGCATGGTGATGTAGGAGGAGCACGTAGCGGGTGGTGTTGGGGTTGGCGCCGGTCGGCACGCGGTGCGCTCGCCGCCGCTGACTGTGTCTCGTCCGGCCGCAGGTTGGAGCTGGACGTCAAGCGACTGCGAGCCGACCTCAACTCGAGCCGGCAGACGGAGCAGGAGCTGCGCTCGCAGGTGTCCAACCTGGTCATCCAGGAGCGCAACGCCCGCAACCAGCTGCAGCTGCTCCAGCTTGACAACGACAGCCTCCAGTCCAAGTGAGACCCGGCCGGGGGAGCTGACGCCCGGGGAGCGGGGCTGACACTGGTCCGCCCTGAGCGAGCCCGCCCCGTCGTCGCCGATGCACGGGGTCAGTGGCGCTGATGACCCGCACTCGGACTGACGCTGGTCCGCCCTGAGCGAGCCCGTCCCGTCGTCGCCGATGCACGGGGTCAGTGGCGCTGATGACCCGCACTCGGGCTGACACTGGTCCGCCCTGAGCGAGCTCGCCCCGTCGTCGCCGATGCACGGGGTCAGTGGGGCTGATGACCCGCACTTGGACTGACGCTGGTCCGCCTGGCGAGCCCGCCCCGCCGTCACTGACGCGCGCGGTCAGCGGTCGGGGCTGCTCAGCCCCGGAAGAGCTCTGGCTCCGCTCCGCGGGCGGCAGGCATCGGCTGGTGCGAGTCGCCAGCTCCGTCCCGTCGGCCCCGTCCGCTGTCGTGACCCCGCGCGTGGCCGGCGAGCGCAGAAGCGTGCGCCCACTCGCCTGGTCGGTCGGCTCCCGGTCCGTACCGGGTAAACCCTTACACGCCTCCTCCCCCCTCCCCCCCGCCGCAGTCAACGATAGGGCGACAGAGGCTGATAGAAGCGGACGCTGCGAGTCCTGGCTCGCGACGCTTGATAGGCAGGGTTCTTCAGAGCTACAGTCAAAGGCGTGTTTCCGCTTCAGTTTTATCGTGGGTTATGTCCGTGGGCTTCAGTCGTAACGACAGATAGCACCGCGAGCCTCCGAAAGTCTCTGAATGTCATGCGCACGAGGAAGGTTGAGCATCCAAATTTATATCGTTGCTAGAAATCGTCCACCAGTATCACTTCTTGTGTAGCTCATCGCGTGTCTTTCTTTTTACTCTCTCTGTGCCCGTCACTCTACATTGATCATGTAAGCGTTACTATCGGACACCAAATCTGGATGAATACAGTAGCGGTGCACTCGTGGAAGTGCTGTATGTACGTAGCTTATATGTGCACATCACCTATTAACTGGCTTAAACATCCCCCATTCGCGCTAGCTTTGTGATTCAGAACGCTGGTCAGAACCGCCAACCTGCAAACACCAACATCAGACTTCTGGCGCCTTTGCCCGAGTCAGGGCCTTATCGTAGGATGTGATGACACTGAAGATACAGGCTGATCAGTGGACGGCAGCGTGGACTTGCGTTCCTATGCTGAGCACATTCGTTAGCCCGTGTCGCTGACGGCTGTTGGCATTCCAGCACATCACATCACATCACGCGGCACATCACACTGTCATCACTCCAGTCTTTAAACACGAGGCCCTGTTTTCGCTTGCAGGCTGCACAATCTGGTAACGTGTCGGCAGCAGGACAAACAGACGGTGGTCACGCTGGAGAAGAAGGTGGCTGAAGAGAGGAAGCTTCGCCAGGGCCTGGAGTCTCAGCTGCAGCAGGAGAAGAAAAAGGTACGATCCCGTGCGAGACTCACGCCAGTGCCTTCCCGGCCGACGCTAAGCTAGCGATGTTTCCCCCGTCAGCCGCTTCGGCCGTGGTAATGAGTTGCTGGAGCCTCGTGGACCCGAAAGCTGGTTTAACCGGCGGGAGGGCGTGAATGAAGACCCCATTTTCTTGGCAGTTGGCTTTTAGCTTTGGAAGGTCCCGTCTCTCACACTCGCATATGGGAAACGTCGTGTTGGGCGGGGCTGGCTGATGTTGGCTACAACCATGATGTCTGGAGTATGCACCCCGCCCTAGAACCGTGACGTCGTTCCTACGATCGTCTTTGTGTCCACCCGGCCACCCATCTGGCGCCGGTCGTGGTGCGGCGCGTGCGATAGCGTGTTCGGCGCTTGTTCGGCAGGTGGCGCAGGCGGCCGAGCAGGCGCCCCGCTGCACGGAGCAGTGTAAGGCGCGCCGCCGTGACCTCGAGGCCGAGACGCGCCAGCTGCGCCGCGAGAACAAGCAGTACGAGGACCGCGTGCGGTCAGCCGAGCGCGAGCTGCAGGTCAGTGAGGTGGGCCTGGCCGCGGCCGGCCGGCCTAGCGCGAGCTGCAGGTCAGTGAGGCGGGCCTGGCCGCGGCCAGCCGGCCGGCGGCTCGGCTCAGCCGGGCTGGGCCAGGCTGGCGGCAGTGCTGCCAAGGCGGCGGCGAGCGGGCGGCGCTCGGCTCAGCTGGGCTGGGCCAGGCTGGCGGCAGTGCCGGCCAAGGCGGCGGCCAGTGGGCGGCGCTTGGCATGGTTTCATGTACACAGATGATTTCTTGTTTGACGCAGTACGGCATTTAAATGAACGTGATTAATGAAGATGCTGGAGGGATGGTCACGCGTCAATATCGGCAAGCATTTCCGCGCATCCGTTTCAGCGTTTGTGCCTGAGACGCCATGTGGACGCGCACGTCTTGCGTCCGTTTAGCTACGTTGCTAAGATTACGGCGATGCGAACACCTGTTCCTGAAAATTTACATTGGAAAGTGCTCCCGGGAGGGATGGTAGGGTCGAGGCTGTCCTTATTTTGACCCTGTTTTCCTTGTCTAGCAGTCATAAGTGGCATTAAAAGCACCCACAAGCGTTTTATGCGAATTTTCTGCCGTAGGCCATTGCTGCAGAAATCATCCGAAGACACGACATCTGAAACACCCACGACAAATAACTTCGACATCAAGCTAATCAACCAAAATAGGTCCAAAATAGATGTAGAAGAATTGCAATCAGTAAATCACATCGGGCTGTGCAATTGAGGGGATGAGGTCCCTGTTTTCTGTTGTTTTTTCGAAGCCATTCTCCCAGCCACAAGCGAACAGACTCCTGCGGGTATATCAACGACACCAGCGCATCGTTCCAGCGGTTGTTGCTGCACTTCAGGTTATCACAGTCGGAGAGTGGTCGCGTTTCTGCCAGCGGTCCTGTTGCTATGAGCTCAGCCGGCCGCTGTCGCGGAGACGGCCGCCGCCGCTGACCGCGGCGCCAACGCTCTCACCCCGCCCCTGGCCGTCCGTTACAGAGCTTCACGAGATCAAGGACTGCAGAGCGACTCGGAGGTGCTGATGTCGGCGCTGTCGGCCATGCAGGAGAAGAACCCAGTACCTGGAGAAGAACCTCTCCTCGAGACGCGACTCAAGATGGATCTGTTCGCGGCGCTGGGCGACGCCAAGCGATGAGGTGGAGATAAACAAAGTGAGCAGCTGGCGTCGGGTTCTTGCAATTGGCGCGTGGGCCTCGGATGGGCACGTCTGCGCGTCGAAGCGGGCGTTCGAGCTCATGCCCCGGGCATCGCGACGCAGTTAACACCGTTGATACTATGCTTAGATGCGCGGTCAGTTGGCGAGCTCAGCTTTGTTGACGCCTGTGTTCCTGAAGTGACCTCGGCGACGTAGCCCCCTGATCCGTCCCCCCTCCCCCACGCCCGTGTCTGACCCGCGCCCGTGTCGACAGCGCAACTGTCCGCCAAGGACCGCGAGATCTCGGACCTGCATGCCAAGCTGGCCGATGTGCTGTCCGTGATGCCTGGCCTCTCGTCGGCCGGCGTCTCGGGCGATCACAACGGCTACGGCGGCATCGAGCCATACCCGGGCGCCAACTCGGACCCTCTACGACCTCAAGATGACGGCCGAGCCACCCAAGAGCCAGCTGGACCCCAACGCGGCCGCCTACACGCCCAAGATGGCCTGAGGCGGCGGTCGCTGCCTGGCCGGCCGAACCTTCCGTCTGCGCGTGTACCTTCCGGGGCTGTGGGCGCCCGCTGCGGGCCGGGGCTCGGGTGCTGCCGCCCCCGCCGCCGCCGCCGCCAGGGCGAGGTGCCCGAGCCGGCGCCGGAGGAGTCTCACTGGGTCCGTCTTCTGTTCTAAAGTGATGGGAGTCGACAAGAATTAATTCACCGAAACTGTTCGACCAATCGATTTGTGTTCGATATGGGGAATTCGAAGAGTCGGATGTCTACATTTGGCAGCAGTGGTCTTGAAGCATAAGTCGTTACCATCCGATAACAGTGGTTTCAAGTGTCTCCGCGTGGTGGCGCACCGATGCCCCGGCCCCTTCCGACCCGCCCCGCGCTGGCTGAAGGGAAGATCGCCAACCTTTGCAGACTTCGGTTTTTGACGCATAACACGCTTGTTCCGCTCGCTCGACATTTGACGGCACGGTATTTAACAGTATTTGGGTTGTCTAACTTTGTTGAGCGGCCGTTGGCGGTATCAGCTGCAACCGGCGCGCGCGCCCGCCCCGGCCCTTGGAGCACTTGCATAGTTTGCCCACCGGCAACGTACTGCTGTCCAGGTTTTACGTGAATGTGATAGAGGATTTTCGAGATTTATCATGTTGTGTTTCGTCAAGTAGCGTCTCGTTTCAGCCGTTCTGAAGCCAAAACGCGAAATTGCCGGCGGTGGTGCGAGGCTGGCGCCCGCCGCCGCCGGCCGACACCGCCGGGCACCGACTTTGTCTCGAGTCTTTTCATTTAATTTATTCTCACATCGGAATCATCGGTAGACGGCCGCGAGGCACGACTGGGCGCCGCGCGCCTGGCCCGTCGCCAGCCGGCCGGCGGGGCGTGGCCGAGCGCACGGCAGTCGCGCCCCACTCCAAGGGCTTCGCCGGCACAGGGGCGTGCCGGAGTGGAGTCAGCTGTTAAAAGCAACTACTTAACTCGGTTTGGCTCTGTGAGTCCGCGGCTGGCGGCTGGCGCCCGACCCGCCACGAAGGACGGGCGCCGCCGGCTTTGTGTTCTGAATTAACCCAACAAGAGGTGTGCGCGCGCCATGACGAGGAAGTGGGCCCGGTGGGCCGCCCTAGATGTGTTTGTTCGGTTGTAGTTGGCTCGATGTACTTGGTGTGAGATTCAGACAGTCGGGCTCGACTCGCAGCGCTCCGCGCCCGCCCGCGATGCCGCAAGGATCTCCGCGTGTCCCACGGAAGGCGACGGAGTAGGTTTCTGGTCAGTTGAACGCTCTCTTGATGTTAATTGTAGCATCGAATAAATTCTTGATGGAGCGTTAAGCTCCGTGTCAGGCTGTCGGTGTTTTGATGGGTAGTGGAATGGGTGCTGCATGACCTGCAGGCAACGCGCCCAAAGACCCCAAATCGCCATCAATCATCGAAAGGTAGTGCAGCGGAAAGAACAGACCCTGGCGTCAACGTGACGACGAAAACGTGCTAGGGTAAGTTAATGCGGACAGTGTTTAAGAGCTGCGTCCTCAAGTTTGATATCTTGGAGGTCGTGAAATGTGCGTGTTGTGCGTGTACTTTGTGTGCAGCCCAGGCGCGTGGTCTTCGGTGCGCAGCGCGTGAAGTTGCGTTCAGTTGTTTACCGACCATGGCGTATATTTTATTCAGGGACCGCGGAAGTGCCGTCGCTTACACATGAGCTCAAACGCCCTTGCAAGGCTGCTGTTTGAGCATAATTACGGTTCGTGTGAGTCAAGCTGAATTACTTCACAGGTAGTGTCTGTCATGTGCGCCTCCCTGTGCAGAGCAGGCCATGATGCTTTCTTCAACCTGGTAGGTGGCGCTGAAGCCGGCAGCGTCGCCGGTGGCGCCGCCTGTGGCCAGCTCCAGCAACAGCCGACTGTCGGGCGACATGAGAGCAGCAGGGCGGCTGGAGCCGCACGTCCTCCGCAGCAGCTCCGGTCGGCTGTCGGCCCGGCCGTATACGACCAGCGTGCCACCACCCCGACACCTGCCCGCAAGGTGTCAGACAGCCGGAAACCAAGGAAATCGGTTCAGAAGCGGGAAGTGGACTGTATTCAAGTCGCGGAATTGCGATAACCTAAATAACACAATTTCGGATGTCAATGGTACACCTCCCATCAGCATTGCAGAGCGGCGATGGCATGGCTAACCATTCCATGAAGTCCACGGCCCGGAACAGCCCTGCACATCTCTGGGTTACAGAACAGAACGACCACGCGTCAGGCGCTGGCTAGCACTGCAACACATCCATAGGTGTAGTCGGCTTAATTTCGTCAACCCCCACTCCGACGGACTGATATTTCAATCCCTTAAATGTTCAGGACAAAATGTTTGGATTGGTCTGCGCTAGCACTGCGGATGAACGTGCCATTTGTCATTGCCAGCCCACCAGCACTTGTCTGTCAATGAATCAACGAATGAAATGAATCAATAAAATAAATGAATGAAATCAACTGAACAAATCAACGAGCGAAGTGCATGAATGAAATGAGCTTAATGACTAAATAGAATGGATGCGTGGATGAACCCAGCGAGCTAAATAGAACGAATGAATGAATGAAATGAACGAACGAATGAAGGAATAAAATCAAAGATTCTGTCCACCCCGATAGCTGAGTTGGACAGAGTGCCTGCCCTCCAATCCACCCACCCATGGCGGCTTGGGTTTGAGTTTTTTGAGCGCTCGTTATTTTCCCTTAAGAGATATGACCTGCGGTCGGTGGCAGCGGCCGCGAAGGTCAGGTCACGCCAGGTCAAGTCAGGTTGGAGGGCAGGGCGGCCGTGCCGAGCATTGCGGGACGTCAAAATGTCCTCACCAAAGTTTGTCATTAGTTAGCCCGAAATGATTGCAATGAACAAACAGCCTAATAAATGAAAACAAATAGAATGCATGAATACAATGAATGGATAGTGGATTAAATGAAAAATGAATGAATGAAATGTATGAACAAATATATGGATGGAATAGACGAATGTCAGGAGTGAGATGAATAGAATGAATGGACGAGATGACTGAATGGAGTCAGTGAAATGCATGACTGCATACATTGTTTGAATGAAATGAATGGTAAAAATAAATGATTATTTATACGTCAAGCTTATGTCACCAAGTTCTTATCAAAGCTATGTCAAGCTTATCGGCCCAGCCTACAACCGATTTCATAATGTGGCATCCCAGCCCACAAGGACGTGCGCGCATAGCAGCCCCGGGGGGGGGGGGGGCACCTGCCAACTTTGTAACCAAACTTATGGCATACATTAATCCGTACGTGACTGAAAAAACCTGTGTCAGCCCCGATGTTCAGAGAAATATTGCGGGTAGCCATGCAATTATAAGATGGTCAATAACATGCAACGTTGCATTACGGCACATAAGGAACTACGAACACCTGCAGGGCACTAAACTCGGTTTTCAGGGGGAAATTCTTAAGTTGAGTTCCTCTCCCGTTGCGAAGTCCTGCGCACGCTAATGGTATTTTATGCGCGGGTGGCGTCACGGATTTTCAGTTGGAGGGCAGGGTTTTTTCAGCAGTCCTGGACAAAATGAGGCCTCACGGGGAGAGGGGGGGGGGGGGGGGGGGGTGCAGAACTCTGTCGTATTCAAGCGGAGAGCCACCAATCAAATTGCACTAAAGTTGCATCACATATCAACTTCTGCATGCATCATATTCAAGCGAATCTTAAACATGTGCCTACTATTCCAGAAGAGGGTCTCCTGGTGTATGGACGTTCGTGAAACATTCGGGGCCTCGCTGTCCCAAAACAGGGCATCATGATCCGAAGCCGCGGTTATTTAATGCGTGGAAAAGGCCTCCCATTCCAGAAATGAAGCTGCCTGAATTAAGACGGTGTCTCTTAACCCAGAACAGGGATATCTAGTTCGTAATTGGGGCATTCGAGCCACCAAAGGGGGGCATTGGGCATTGGGCATTGGGCATTGGGGCATTCGAGCCACCACCTTACAACATGGAGTCTCCTTATGTAGAGTATGGGAACCTTATTCATAAAACTGGCTTCATGATACAAACTATCGGCTCTTGATGCAGAAAAGGGATCTCTGAGCACGATTTACCGCTCTCTAGCTCAGCTAAGGGGCGTCCTTGATCCGCATTTTGGTAATTCGTGGGCAGCTACAATGCCTGTAGCTTGGGAAAAGGAGCCTTTCGAAAGTTTTGGGGGCAGCTGCCTTCTTTGCCATCCCTTTCCCTCCACCGCTGCTCCGCCCCCGATCCAAGGCATGCTGTTTATTTCCTCCCTGACCAGTCGTGTTGCCTTCCCCTTCGTGGGTTGGCCCTTAAAATGGTGACTTTTCTTGCGATGATGCACTCTGTGTTCCGGTGAGGACGCAAGACAGCGGTGCATCCAGGGGGTCGCATGGATGGCATTATGCCACCCCGTGCTCCTGTGAAAACGCAAGGCAGCGGTGTACCCGGGGGTCGCATGGATCGCATTATGCGCCCGGTAAAGGCATGAAACGGCAGATATAGTGGTTTAAGCTTCTCTTGCTGAAAACAACTGTGTAGTCACCTAGCCTATTAACGACAGTGCTCCACATTTGTATGGGGTTTTGAGCTGAGACAGCCATTTTGAAATTTACGCAGCCCCGCCCTTTATAAGACTGAAAGTCCTCTAATTTGTGAGCTTGACGCCCGTGAACTTGTGCAGACTATTTCACGACCATTCAAGCATACATGGCGCCACAGAAACGGCAATCAAATACCGCCACCCCATGAGCCACGCAGCGCTCAAGGCTTAGATAAATACCATCATCTAGTTATTCGTGTCTAGCGTACGTAAGCACACTTCCATGTATCAACGGCCTTCAGTTGGTCCTCAACCAATGCGAAACGTTTAAAGCAAGTTTCGCACGCGAATCACCTTGTGTGCTATATAATACAGGAATTCGGATACTGGCGCGGGTTATTACGGAATTATAAGCCTGCAAACCGCACATGATTTAAGACTGCGCCATATCCCAATGTGTGAAAGCGAAAATAAATTATGTTCCCAGGCCGTTTGGAAAGGCTACGCCTGGTAGCTCAAAAGTTTCTGGGTTCATTCCAAACACGGTTCTGCGCGTGCGGGTTCTCTTTGAAAGTGCCAATTCCAATCCGAGGCGGCACGATTTTTCTTTATTTAAATGGAGACCAGACATAACTCAAAATCGAGGAAACACTTCCAAACGCCTGGACAGGGAGACTTGTGAACCGTTCATCACCTCATGACGTCGTCGGCGTATACTCCGTGGTCATCTAGCAGTTGTGATCAACAACACATCATTCAATTTTCCATATACAACACGTACACTACAAACGACTGTGCGTCTGCGGCTACGCCTCGAGTCAAGGAGTCAATACGCCTCGAGACATGCTCAGCCCGATTACACAGACGCGGACTCAGATTCGGACATGTATTAGTACCACCCGCAATGAGCTCTTGGCTGCCGCGGCGTCGCGTTAAAAAGCTGAAACAAGAGGTCAGTGACTGTCATACGGCATTTACACAAGAAAATACATGAGCACGTTTGCATCTCATTCAGAAGCCTAAAACATCGCATTGTAGCAGAGAGCAAGCTAGACCATATTTTACTGCAGGTCGCTGTAGAGGAGACATTGCAAGTGGCGCAGCCAAACCCACCCTACAACCGACTTTGTATACCCTTGCATGCGTATTGACCCATTTATTAATGGTTTAAATGCAGAGTTTATTATAGCGACTTTCAGAGGTCGTCTTGGCGTCCACCATCGAGCATCTGGTCTGTCACACAGACCTCGGTCGGCTCCCCGGCGTCCGCGCAGCCGTCGTCGCAGCCGCGCCGGTGCGCCGCGCTCGTCTGTACAGCGCTGGTGCGCCACGCTCCTCTGTACAGCGAGCAGCTGGCTGCCTCACGAGCAGCGCAACCGAGCGGTTGTCAGTCAGCCCGCTTCGGCCTGCTTGTACGTGGGCATCAGGAAGGCGGCGTTGTCAACGCCCGTATTGGGGGCTGGAGGGGTCATCACGTTGGAAACGGTTCACCCCCGTTTAAGAGCTTGTAGGTGATAGGATTCATCAGCGATTTGGAAACCTTCCGTCGATTACATCCTGAAAATGAAAAACTCAAGTAAATCAGAATCGATGCTGGAGTCGGCATCTGTGCCATGACGGACACCGAGGAAGTTGGTCGCGATCTACTTAAAATGCTAGCAGCTTAAGGCGAGCATGCTGTAAAAAGGTTTCTTTATAGTCCGTCATAGCAATTGTTGGCCTGTGTCGCCCGAGTGAACCGCCCCCACAAAACAAAATATGGAGACTTCCAAAATACAAAACATCCCATGTTTTAGAGCGCGACTCTGGCGTTAGCCAAGAACCGACCTGTAATAAGACTGACGACGGATCCCACGATGACGCACAGCAGGCAGCCGAAAACGTTATACAACTGGTACGAAATGCCGTAGATGTATTGTTCTATAAAGCTGAAACACGGATACAGGAGAATTATGAGCAGGTTTTTGTGAAATATATTCCCACGGACGGCGGGAAGTTCGATGAATCACATCGATATTTCTTTAGAAATGCACGGAGTGATCAAAATACATTTCCCACGCTTGTAACAATGACTGGGATGCCCCGGAAATGACGTGGTAATGACAAGAAATGTTTCACACACACACACACACACACACACACACACACACACACACAACACACACACACACACACACACACACACACAACACACACACACCACACACACACACACACACACATATATATATATATATATATATATATATATATATATTATATATATATATATATATATATGTGTGTGTGTGTATATATATATATAGCGCGTGTGTGTGTGTGTGTGTGTGTGTGTGTGTGTGTGTGTGTGTGCTGTGTGTGTGTGTGTGTGTATGTGTGTGTGTGTGTGTGTGCGCGCGTGTGTGCGTGCGTGCGTGCGTGCGTGCGTGCATGCGTGCACGCGTGCGTGCGTGTGGGTGTGTGGGTGTGGGTGTAGCATTTGTTTAAAGAATATTTGGTCTCGTGATGAAAAACTAGTCTGACTTATGCCATCTGCATTCGCACGCTTAGCAGGGTTCACACATTTAATAGTGCTACATGTTCCATCGACCCTTCCGGCTGTAAATCGTTTGTCGAAGCAATGCAGTAAATGCAGCCTCCGAAATATAACACCACAAGACGTTCAGCTCTAAAGAAACTACGCGCAAACGGCAACACCATCTACAAAAAATACACACCAGTCTCACATAAACCACTGGTACTATTGTACTCCGCTGTGTGCTACCCGGGTCTGTCGTTGCCTGCCATATGGGTCAGCTGTTGCTGGGGAAGGATAGTTTGACACCGGGACATGTGGGACTGCTGGAGGAGAGAGCGTCACCCGGGTCTGTCAGTCTGCTGGAGGGGAGAGCGTCACCCGGATCTATCGGGCTGCTGGAGGAGAGAGCGCCGCCAGGGTCTGCCGGGCTGCTGGAGGAGAGAGCGGGGAGAAAAGCCTGTTGCGTGACCACGACTGCGCAGTGTCCGGTGGCCGGCGGCCCGAGGCCTGCGCGGCCGACCGGATACCCGGTCGGCCGTGTAGATGGCCGCTCTTTCGCTTACTTGTGCAGCTAACGACCACAGTCGGCCGCGCCGGGAACCAGCAGGCGTTCGCTGACGTGTGGAAGCGGGCAGTGGATGCACGCGCCCTTACCAACGGAGTTCCAGTCACAGTCAGGTGCTGCGATTTAAGCGCCGTCTTGCTCAAGCGCCCCCGTGCCGGACAGGACAAGAGAAATTCTTCGTCGCCGAAAAAAAAATCGAGATTTCTCGAAAGACAACGGAAGTCTTCGAGAAAAGACGGGAAACGAGAAAGCTCTCGTGAGCGGCCCCAACCCAAGACAGGTCTGTGGGATCGGTCGAGGACGAACGCGGTGGGAGGAAGCGTCACAGGCGTCAGCAGGTCGCGAGACTGTCTGGCTCGCCTGCCCAGCAAGAGCATGTGGTGAGGTATGCGCCGGTGTCTCCGGCCCCTATAATCGAAAAAACCTATCTTACCTATAATAATCTTACCTATAAACCTATAAAAATCTATAAAAATAAACCTATAAAAATCCTATCTAAAACCTATCTCTATCCATCTATATTCTATTCTATCTATAATGCCAAAAATCATTCTGCAAAGCGTAATTCAATGGCACGATGAGTACCAAACTTATTAAATAATAGCGTTGTTGAAACTGCGTTGTTGAAGCAGACCAACATCAAACGTTGTTGAAACAACGTTAAATAGCGTTGTTGAAACAGACCATACAGGTTTCAATCAACAAATTTTGTTTCAGCCTAACCTAAATCAAATAAGCGTCCCAAAGGATTCAATTTTCGGTGACGTAGCTCTCATCACCGACTGAAGTACGCAGTGCACCGCGCACCGGGCTGTATAGGACGGAGCAATCTTTTCTCAGCCGTTTAATCATACAAAGCTTTGCAACAGCGCAGCGAGCCCAAGCCGTGGAGTGAGTTTGGCGGAGTTCGGCCGGACCAAGTCAGGCGGGAAAATAAGAACTCAAATTGAGAGCACGACCGATCAACATCCATTACATTACGCAATCATTGTTACGCACCTGGGCTCCTCCTCCTCTGTTCGCACCGGGCCCATGTCCATTGGTGGTGGTGTAGTGGACGACACCAGTGATGTCAGATTGGTGCCGCAGCCGGCGATAGAGGTGGGTAGAGATTCGGGCTGTTTCCCAGATCCGTATGCGCCCCATCACTGCCCAGACGCTCGTTGCCATGGCCGTTAGAAGTCCTGCCACGGCACCCTGCCACGGAGGAGAGACGTGGACAGTCTATTCGGTGTCCGGGAAACGGGCAGCTACCATGGCCTGATGCAAACACAACACGGACAACAACGATGCGCTAAATCCACCAGGACATTTGACAAGAAAGCAGGTGCGAGTCTCACGAGCCACGGAAAGGGAATACGGAAGTTGTTATTGTTACATTGCTCTTCCCATGCTGTGACAAAACTTAAAAAATTCCTGTGTGGGCATGCTAGCTGTTCGATAAAATCTTTCACAAAAGGGCAAAACATTGTCACCCTTTAATGCCATCTGTAAATATTTTTTTTAGGTCAAACTTGTACATGGATGGATGGATTCTAACTATTTCACACGGAGACCGGACTGGAAACAGAACAGAAAATACCTCCGGCTGCTCACGCAACAATACAGGTGTATCAATCCATCGTAAGTTGCGTAATTTACCCAACTGACGCTGAATCTCATTACCATCCCGTTTACCTTGCCGTTGGAAAACGGAACGAAGATGCCCAGCATGAAGACACCATGCACAGGACCGCTGACCGCTCCAGTGATAGACAGAGAAGCCTGCAGCACTCCTCCGAGCTGGCTGGCCATGAAGGCCATGCCCACTGCCAGACAGCCGTAAAGAAAACCTGCCGAAACATGACCCGCGTTAGAGTTAGGCCTTTTCTTTGACATCTTCGTTCCTTTGCACGCATGGCGGTGTGGCAAGATTCTGCATGGATTTGAATAGACCAATCGCCACGAAATTGAGCATTTTAGGCGCCTCGTGTCGACAGAAAGGCGGAGTTCACGCTCATTCTAATGTAATACATGCACAAATTTATTAGGCTGATACATTGAAGCCAGTTGCCAGTTAAAGAACTGCGTATGCAAGATGTTTCCCTGTTGAGATTGAACAAAGTGATTCTGCAACAGCGGTTCTGAATTTGACTCAATTACCCTAAACTCACTGATGCCTCTAGTTATCCAAGACTGTGTGATTGGCAACATGTTCTTGAAGAGTTGATGTTGCTGAGGAAGTCCTGCAAGTGATGGCTGCCAGCGAATTGAGGCCGGAGGAAATGGTGCTGAGCGCTCCAGACATGATGCAGGCCACAAAGAGGCCCGGCAGACCCGTAATGTAGGACATCTGGTCCAGCACGAAGTAGGGCACCAGCTAGAACAGAAACATTATATCCATTCAGGCTATGGAACAGTCGGCTCGAGTTGGACGTTGCAACTGCACCTTTAGACACATTTCCGCTCTCGCCGGTGTGGGTGGGCATTGACATATTAGCATCCACATATTAGAGTCGAGTGGTGGAATAATAACATCACACAGTTTTGGCCATGCGCGCTCACAAGGCTTACGACGAAAACCCTGGCAACTGGCGTTGCAGTCTCCGGAGGCAGCGTGGCGTCAGTTCTAAGACTTATATTAGACGGCGGCTAACGGGCGGGTGAGAACGACAGCGTTTCTGAAGAAGTACATTGCACACTTAAGGTTGTCGATTTACCTCTATTTTCGTTTTTGCTGTCGGACAACCTCGAATTCTACAAGTAAAATATATGCAGCGGTCCAATTTCGGAGCGGTACGAGCTCATTTTTAACGGCTTTTGACGCACCATTTCACGACGGCTGTTCTAAGTTGTCAGGTACCCATCGCCAGGTAACCACCGGTATCCCGGTGTTGTCTGCAGTGGCCAACGCCACTTAGCGTTATGCAAACTGCAGTTCCGTTCGTTGATGCTCTTGTTCCTAGGATTGTGAGTACGTAGGCTGAGCTTTATTTTTTTTTTTTTTGGAATTTGCTTCGCATGTTGATCATAAAAGCGGATGCAGGCCTCGTTTGTGTTAGTGTTTCAACGTTTGCCTCATTGCGATCCTCCCTACTGAACACTAAGAAAACCCTTACCTTTTCCGGACAAGGGACCGAGTGGATAGAACAATAGGAGGCACATTATCTTTCTCGGTCAGGAGATTCGGGGCCGTTCCATTACAGCGTTGGGTGACTAACGGCTGTCATGCTGGCGGCACAGGGGCAGGATCCCCTTAGTCACCCTTAGTTAGTTGTCACACACGGTCACCCTTAGTCACACGGTCACCCTTAGAAGGTTGCATCATACACTGGTTGCCTATCTTGCACCGGAGGCTCCCTGACCCGCCCGGCCACTTGGTCCCAGATAGACTCAGAGGTCTTTATTGGTGCAAAATATCCCTTCTCGTCGCAGGTGTCCAATAATTGCCAGAGAGACTAAAGTTTGGCATGACGGGCCTTGATTGAAATGGGATGGATAGCCCCCGTCCGATCCCGGGGCCCTGCCTGACAAAGGGAGTTTCATTTCTCATTGCGGACTTTCATCGTAACCTCTCATATCCACCTGCGTTGTCAGAAAACCCTGACCAACGCAACAGGCCCCCGACATTCGGGGTCTCATCCCTGTCCCTGTTCAGAAAATGGTGTCATGGCCGACCTGAGTCCTTACCAACATTGGGCCCTCTATTAGGTACTGAGGGCCACTGGCCAACAAAGAAGCCCTCTTTGCTCTAGGGATCACGGCCAATGCAAATCATGGGTTCCCACCTTATCCTTGCTTGGGAAATGGGCCCTCAGAGTTCAGGCCGACAGGGAGCCGACTGCTCGTCGTTGGTGGCCTAGGACCGAAATAGAGACCCTGAGTACCTCAGGGTGTCCCAAGGTGTACCCAACAGGAACAAGAAGCCTTCCGACTGACATTTGGGGGCCCGGTCGTGCGTGTCCCGGTCGTTCTCATGGACCTGGCAAAGCGTAAACCTGAAACCTTAAGAATAGAAGTAAGGAGTCACGCTCAGGTAGGTCATATTCTACAACAATTTGCCAAAGCAGTTAAAAAATGTCATCGACTGGCCGGAGGCTGTGATGGCATCCTTCTATACTATCGGTAGTTGGTAGCCCAAACCTGATTGTGAGACCAATAGGTATGCATGCCAGGAATTCAGGCGCGCGTGCGTGTTTACCATTCTGCATGTTGTGTTGTCGAGGCCGCACATGTGTTCAGGCAGCGAAGGTACAGTCACAGAGCTCGTGAAGTCTAAATCACAGGCTTGACATTACTGGCAAGGTAACTTCCTAGTTACAATCAAAGCATTCACAAATCCTTACGTTTCTTGTTCTAGGAACACGTGAGATTCACACACTGATTTAAATGAATGATTACACCTGTTTCGCAGTGGGTCTTTCGTTCCGCGGATTTCATCCGTTGCTAGGCAACCCACCGGTGGGTCCTCACGTCAGAACTGTCCTCATTCCTCGCTCAGATCGGGAGCCGCACCTGGTCCTTCCTCTCGATGAGAGCCATCCGGAGCGGGTCGCAGTCGGCGTACGTGGCGAAGATGGCCAGACCGCACAGACAGGCCAGCGATATGTAGAGAATGTTGGCCGGGGCGTTAAGGAGACAGGCGCTGAAACAGACGGCGGTGCCATTGGTTCCCTTATCAGGGTAGGACAAATGTGGCCGCCACAGCAGCTCTCCTTGCTTGGATGCACATCGATATCAGAATGCGACTACAACAATGATACATGCAAGGCTATACAAAGCCAGTTAAACCTGTAAACGGGGCTACGTGACCTTTTGGTATGACACAAATCACAGCTGAACCCACCGGTAATAGTTTCAGAACGTACACTTTTGAAAGGCATCAACTATGTCGCTGCAGTACAGATATCCACTGCGGGCTTTGTCTTCGGCGAGGGTGATGAGATTTCCTCCGATTCAAAGCCTTCCTCCAGCCCGAAGCCTCGGTTTTAGCGGACTTCGCTTGCTTTTAGGGCCGGTGGGCTGATGACAGACTTTTAAAGAATTCTTACTCCAAGAATGAATATGCAAGTATGAAGAACCACAAGCAAGCCATGTTTAGCAACAGGCATTAGGCGCAAAACACGAGTCGCATCTGGAGGAACTGTCTGCCAAGGAACTGAGACTTGGGGGCTGTCGATGCGTTGTTGCTGGCGCATTACAGCCCCACATTTATGTGACAGTTGGAGCGGTCGAATGGACGTAACTCACATTCTAGCCGCCTTCAGGGTGGGTAGACTCATGTAGCGTTTGTACCGAGCTCTGGTTCACCCCCATCACCCCGGTCCACATGAACAAGGTGCCGAAGAACAGATTCCAGAAGTTATGCCTGAGGCGAGCACACGACATCTTACACGATTGATGCAAGACACTTCTCGGCTTGTTTTGCTGTTACGTTGACTCGGTGTGCACGTAAGGAAAGGCAGGCGTGACGTTGGCAAAGTGACGCGGTTAATGGCGCAGGCGGGAGGAGCAGGGGACACGTGCCTTCTTAGGTTTCGAGGGCTTGACAGGCCCCTAGAGACCCACGATAAACGGCCCGATCTGAGGGCCCTGAGGGTCTGAAGGGCTGACCGAAGGTCCCATTATGGGGTCTGGTCCGAAGGGTCTGGTCCTCAAATGTCAGTCACAGGACCTTTTGCGCCAATTGGGCCCACCTGCGTCGATGATGTTCTTTGTGCCTGTCAGACGCCACCGGTACAGAACAGTCTGCTCTGTTTTGGTCTAGGGCTCAGGGCCCATTTCCCAAGCAGGGACAAGGCCGGAGACACTAAGTCAATGAGGGGCCCACTGTGCCTGACAGGGGGCCCTGTGCTGGTAAGGATTCCAGAGTGGCCAGAGGCAGTGTTCAAGGGGACCCAAAGAAGGGCCCGACGGGCCCCAAGGGACCCAACGGTCAAGGGCCCGATAAAAAGGCTGAAATGCCCAAGGGGTTGGCTCTAGGTCACATTAAGTACACCGGCCCGCAAGCTCGTGACTTCGGATGTCAGCCAGAGAGCCTCTCGCAGCGATTAAGAGCCCCATTGGGAAATGCGTGCTGGCTGGAGCCTCTGACGAG